CCCCATTTTCTTCAAAATGTTTCGCCATCCTTTTAGAAGGTTGCCTCATTCCTCTTCCTCTCAGTAGCATTTAGTCGTGGGGTTTAACGTATCAAGTAAAGGAGGCAACGGCGGTTTAGTGGGAATTACAAGCCCCTACCCATTTAAATCATTAGTGGTTTTTGAATGCGTAGGTAATAATGGAAGCCTAGATCTTAGCTAGGGTATAAGTAGTGCTACCATCACATCCCCAACCCATTCTCAAAAAAAGATTCAACCTACCCAAAAAATAATGTCATGCAAGACTTATGTGTAATAAAAAAAAAGAAGGAAAATTTAACAAAAGGAAAATTTAACAAACTATTCATATGATCTAAATTATTAAATGGAAAAAATTTATATAAGATTACAACCTTAAAATGTAGAAATAAAGATGCATCAAAACAATCCATAGAAAAATGTTGTTTTACTGTTGAAAAACCCTCTAGTTGATCATCTCAACATCAAGATGTATGAATATGAAAAAAGAAAAAAGATTTTGAGAACTAAAAATAGTTATCTTCAAATACATTATCATCTAAATCGAGAAAGCATGAGCACAGACATTGAATGTAAATACATTATCATCTAAATCGAGAAGGCATGAGCACAGACATTGAATGTAAAGAGAGATAACACAAGATTATAGAGAGAATAAGAGAGATAACATAAGATTACGGAAAGAAGAAGAGAGATAACACAAGATTTATGTGACAGCTACATCTTTCCTATTTGGATCAAAGGTTACACAAATACGTACTGCTATATATAGAGAGGACAATCATAATGAATATTAGAGATACAGGAAAATAATATGAGGCTTATCACCAATAACAAACTTGACCAAGCAATTTGACTTGATCTATCTTCAAGACTCCCCATAACAAACTTGACCAAGCAATTTGACTTGGTCTATTTTCAACACTCCCCCATAACCAACTTGATCAGGCAATTTCACCTTGATGAAGCAATTTAACGTTTATAGATGCTTATAGATGTACTTCATTTTAACTATTTTTAGAGTTTAAAATTTTATAATAAAATATGAAAAATAGATTTTCAAATAATCCTAAGAATTTTTTACACCAAATTACATGTTACAATAAAATTAGGAGTTGTGCCTTATAATTGGATTGTTTAAGATTGCAACTTTATAAAAACCACACCCTTATTGAATATATTACTTACATCTAATTTCCAAGGAAAAGGTTTATATAAATGCGAGGGCTCTAAAAAATCAAATTAAAGCTCATGGACATGAGAAAAAAAATGGTGCATCTTGTAATGCATTTTTGGACTGTTAATTTTCAAAATTTTCAAGTTTTCATATACTTGCTCGATCTACACTATTTTTGAAGCTTTAAATTTTATAATTAGAGATGGAAGTATATTTTTAAGGCTGTCACAATTATTTTCAGTATGGAAACATTATTTTTCGAAACTATTTGAAGGTATGCTTTACTTTGATTGTTTAGAGCCTCAGCTGCACCCAATTTCAAATAGCTCGTCCTTTTGTTTGTCAAAATTCAAGCAGCCCATCAAATCACACATGAATTTTGAAATTCATAAAATTAAATGTAGGATAACATGTTAAATAGTCGAATATGGAAGTTGCGTTTTTATTGTGAACTAAACATATGTTTCTTTTCTAGCTTCCAACACTAATATCACAAATTGAATTATTCTTTCTAGAATCAAGAGACGAAAGCACTCTTCATAAATGTGAATCCATATGGAATCTAATCTCATTTATAATTTTATATTGTGCTTGAGGTCTGAAAAGTAAAATATATGTGACTTCTAGGAAATAATACATTGAAAAAGTAGAGCAGGAAGTACAGATTTCAAAGTTATTTGAAAAGTATGCCCCCAAA